GAGGCTTGAACAGTCACACTTTGAGCCATTCCTTAAACATAGTACCTACATACCTGCCATTTCCAATGTGTTTGATTTTTCCCTTTACCATGTTCATGTACAGAGTGAATGTTCAATGTTGAAGTCAGCACTCATCAGTGGCAGCACTGGTCCCTGTAAAAATAAACACATGTGAACATGCTGATATCAAGAGAAACTATATGGCTGCACGATTTTGGGAATATATTTTTTATTTTTCTGGTTGCAATTATTAAATATATATGAACACCAAGTTTGTTGTGCATTGTTATAGCCTATGTATAGGGCTGCATAAAGCCAATGTATAGGCTATTATCGTTAAAAAGGAACACTTCAGTAACGCTACACAAGACAAAAATATATGGATTAAAATGTAGTATGTAACTTTTAATGTAAACATTTCCATTCGTTATGAAATGAGATTGGAGAAAACCTAATGTTTGGTGTATTTTGCTTTTCAAACACACAACGCGAGTGACTCAAATTCAGCGCGTGCAGAGGACATTTACTGAACTGATCGAGCCACTCCAAACTATGAAACATTATTGTTACATTATACATATCTACGTTACAGCAGATATCCTCAAACATACATGTCTGAACATTATAATATTCACCATTGAAGAATAAGCCTTCTTCATGCTGTTTAATATCGAAGATAAAACATTCTTGTGTGTACATATTCACTCCAATCTCATTTCATAACATTTTAGTCTGGCACAAGTTTGTAAGCTACAATGTAAATTAGGCTATATAAAACCATAAGATGTGTATTGTTATGTGTCTTACCTTCCAAACTCGACGAAAAGCAGAGTTGCTATTCTTTGTTTTGTGGGGATGAGGGCGGTAACTATGGAAGCTTGTTTCCGCCACTGAATAAAAAAATAAAATAAATAATTGCGACTTTTTATCTCACAATTCTGACTTTTTTTCTCACAATTGCGAGATAAAAAGTCCGAATTGCGTGATATAAAGTCGCAATTGCGAGTTATAAAGTCAGAATTGCGAGATATAAAGTCAGAATTGCGAGATAAAAAGTCAGAATTGCGAGATATAAAGTCGCAATTGCGAGTTATAAAGTCAGAATTGCGAGATAAAAAGTCAGAATTGCGTGATATAAAGTCAGAATTGCGTGATATAAAGTCAGAATTGCGTGATATAAAGTCGCAATTGCGAGTTATAAAGTCAGAATTGCGAGACATAAAGTCAGAATTGCGTGATATAAAGTCGCAAAGCGAGTTATAAAGTCAGAATTGTGAGATTTAAACTATTCTGAGGGGGAAAAAAGTTCCCCTTAGAATTGGCCTAATAAGTCGCAATTGCGAGTTTATATCTCACAATTCTGAGAAAAGATGTCAGAATTTCGACATATAAACTCGCAATTATGTGTTATAAAGTCAGAATTGCGAGATGTAAACTGTCTTTTTTTCTCAGAATTGCGACTTTATATCACACAATTCTGACTTTATATCTCGCAATTCTGACTTTATAACACACAATTCTGACTTTATAACTCGCAATTGCGACTTTATATCACGCAATTCTGAGAAATAAAGTCAGAATTGTGAGATATAAACTCGCAATTGTGAGAAAAAAAGTCAGAATTGTGAGAAAAAAAAGTCAGAATTGTTAGATAAAAAGTCACAATTCTTTATTATATTTTTTATTCAATGGCGGAAACATGCTTCCATAGGTAACAGATCTGCTTCCTTCACGTGGATCATATGAATTTGAACGGCTTGCGTGCGCGCATGTCGCATTAGCGGGCGTGGTCGCATTAGCGCTAATCAGCTCGGCCTGGAGAAACTGTACATGTCGTTTTCATACGGATTACTTAAACAGAAAATATTTGTTTTTGGTATGATTAAAAATGGAGACTTAAAGCTTTGTAAAGACATAACTCACGTGTGTGTGGCAAGTATTTGCTGAGTTAAAGATCATTTTCTGTCACGTTTCAGAATTAACTTCACAGTGAGAGAGAAGGGAGAACGCGCATCATGTTTATTTTCTTTATTTTACAAAAAAAAACAACATTTTGTTTTTATTATTAGTGTACACTAATAAAAGTAGACATTTAACATTTGAACTATATATATTTAACACTTGCCTGTCTCACAAAAAGCGACAGAGTTATTTGAGTCTCTTTTGCACTGATAAGAAAAAAAGAGAGACAATCACGCCAGCACGATAGCCGACACCAGAGGGTTAAAGCACGTGATGGCCATACCAGATTTGTTTAGTGACTCATTATTCCATTTCTGTTCACATACTGTATCTGTGAACATGTCACAACCTATTCCAAATAATGACGAATTCAAAGAAACCAAAATAAAACAAATGGCTTCAAGTTGTTGTTTTTCCATACTGTATATTTAATAATTTCATATAGTTATTTACACGGAAATATTTCAAATTTCAACTGCAAACCTGTAGACTGCAAAACAAAATGTGAAGAAAAATAATGGTTCATGAACTGATTTCTTGTCAAGACTGCGGTTTCCCCTAAAGGTCAAAAATCAAGGCAAACATTTTTTAGTGTATTCCAGCCTTAAAATGTAACCTTGAAACTGAGAACATAACAAAAACATTCTGACCATGAATTGTTTTCTTTTTAATGCACATTTTAATTCACACAAGAGGAATATATTTTGATGGTGCAGGGCTATTAAAAGTGTTCTTGAAGGAAGTTTGATAGATACATGAAAGAAAACAAGAAGAAAATGATTACCTTAAAGAAGAAAATTATTCATATAATGAACTGTGTTTTCCATTCAACAATGTAAATTATGTGAATTGTGTACAAAGTGCCAAAAATGTGGTCTTTGAATCTACCATGTAAACGCCCTGAAATGGTGTGACCATTTAGAATAAATCTTTGATTTCGTTTTGGGAGCTTGCCAAAGCAAACTTAAATTTGCTCTGATTGGTAAACAACTGAACAACAATTGGTCCATAGCGATTACATAATAGGTGATGTGGCTGAGGCTCTGGCATCTTTAGTGTGGTAATCTTCTCCAGTACATTTCTTTTGTTTCATTTGTTCAGTGTGCTGCACATATCCTGAAATGGGAAGCCAAATCATTTCAATCGCCTCCAGGTGGCTGGCTGCAGTATATGTCATAAACCCCGCCCTCTTCATGTAATTGAATGAGACATGAATCTAACCAATCTAAAAAACAATTCAATTACACATCAAATACCTTCTTTTCCAAATATGGGTTCTTTTATTTTAGGTTGTTCATATCACGCTGATTGATTCTAGATTGAAGTTTGATTCTGGTTAGTTGTTTGGTATAAAACTAGGGTGTAATTGCTAGGAAATTTTGGCTTGACTGGTATTTGTGCCATTTAACGGCCCAAAAAAGTATGTCACGTAAAGGTATTTTGTGTATGTTGATTACCACAATAATTCAAATGAAAGTGAATAAGGCCAATCTGTAAATGTTAAAATACTCAATGTTTCAAAAGTAATTTTCATTCTATTGCACAGCCCTCTGCAATTCTTGATTCAGACAAAATTCTTCTAAGTAGTTGTCTCTTGTACCATCACTTTCTTCTCACATTATGATTTATATTTAGAATAATTTAAATTCACTTTTACATTTGAACATAAATGTCTGTTGGCAGTGTGTGAGCAAAACCACCCTACAATGATAAAAATCCACCCAGTGTTTTTTTTACAATCTCAATAAATCATCTGCACTGTCTGAGAACGAGCTGTTCTAAGATTCAGCGCTTTGTGACGTAGAATTGAGCAAGGGGTTTGATTGACAGTGTGGTTGTGGCATAGGCCCCGCCCTCGGTGATCTGAACACCATCCTCCATTGTTTCAACGACAGCCGGTAATGTCTCCTAGAAACATAAGTGTTCTGTTGTGGGATGGGATGTAATAATTACATATATAGTAGTTTTCGCTTATTTCTGACATCAGAGCCACTGAAAACACAGTGGATGTATTGTATTTTGGAAGTTTAAGTGGCGCCTTTCCTTCGTAAATAAGTTTATGTTTGAGCGAATCATTTTCTGACTGACTGTTTTGTGAACGAGGGTCAATTCAAAGTAAATCCACAACTGTGGATCGTCGTCTACGGTTTGCGATCCAACGTCACCTCCAGTAAGTATTTTATGATTTTTGAGTAAATAGTCATTTCAATCGATGTCAGCCAATTTAACAAAAAATGCATCTAAAGTTGTTGTCGTCGTAGGATGTCTGTGTATATAATTTAAACCTGGCTTGTATAGTGTGTAACCACACGTTTATAAATATATTTTTAAAGATATTGTATTAAAAACTGCATATATGTTGTTGTTCTTTAAGTTAGCCATCTTCTCACATTTGCCACAGAAGCACCTGTATGACAAGTAAACATGACGCCACAGGTCCCTTGCATAAATGTAATTTCGCTTGTACGTAGCAAACTTTATCACAGAATGTGTATGGAGTTTAAAAAAATTAACGTTAGTGTTTGTGTGTGTGTGTGTGTGTTGCACATCCATAATTTCAAAGGGGACACGATTACAACTCTATAAGTACATTAATGTATCAAATAACCATACCGAGAGGTACTGGTCCATTCTCATTTGTGTTTATTCTGCCGGAGTCTCTTTGTCATCTGGGTCTGATCGGAGACTATTTATATATTCCGATTCAAACATGTACGGCTGAATGACATTCAAAACAGCGGGTCTCTCACTCTCTCATTCATTCTGCTTAGACCGACTGCCATAGTTATCAAGTGACGCCCTCATCCAAAGGCAGGGTGGGGATATGCAGCTCATTTACATTTAAAGTCTTCCCCAAAACAGCTAATTTTTAAACAGGCCCCAAAAATGACTTTTTCAAATGGTTATAATAAATTAACTATGGGGTATTTTGAGCTGAAATTTCACAAATACATTCTGGGGACACCCGAGACCAATATTACATCTTGTAAAAAGGGGCATAATAGGTGCCCTTTAAACAAAAAAAACAAATACAACCCCATTTCAAGAAAAGTTGGGACATTAAAGACTGTAAAGTCAAGGAATCGAGAGAAATCTCAGTCCGTTTAGAGCAAGGCAGGAAGCCTCTGTTGAATGTGCGTGAACTTTGACCCTTGGCATTGCATTAGAGTTAGGGCTGCACGATTAATCACAATTTACATGTAATCGCACTTCAATCGAGATGGCTTATTGCAATTTTGAAATTGCAAAGGCTGCCATTATCTTTTACGCGCAGCTCGTCATTGATATACGGCTCTGTAAACGTTGCTCCATCTGAAAGCACTGTGAGTTGGGTCACTTATAACGTGCATTATAAAGCAACACGCGTAAAACAACATTCCAAACGCGAGAAGCATGAACCTCTTGTCCAACAAAACAAAAAGCACCATTTAATTACATGCATTTACTCCAAACTCACTTCATAACGACCGATTAGCATAATTTGTGATATGATGTGGCTTCTTACACAGAATAAGACAGTCTTGTATTTATAAGTCATGTTTAATCAAAGCATTTCAGTGTTCTCTTTATTCAGCTACATCGATATGGATTTTCTGGAATGATGATGCGTATAATTCTACTTCTGCGATGGGGCTTATTTATCGTGTCTGTGTGAGAGCGCCCTCTGGCGTTCAAATGGAGCAGCATTTACTACCGGTCAACAGCACTACATTGAAAAGCTGCACATAAAATATCACAGCCTTTGCCAAATCACTTGCAGTTTTATTTCGTTAATTGTGCGGCCCTAATTAGAGTCCATTATACTACTTAAATCTACTGTCTTAAATATAATCATGTTGGCTTGGGAGTTCTTTGGAAAACCAAATCTGCTTCTACATCAAGAAATGACACTTGAATCTCTGAAACGCCTATACATCAATTTTATGCAGAGATGGTGGAGAGTTCTCAGGGCCCAAGCTCATCTCAGATGGAAATGTGTGCTGTGGTCAGATGAGTCCATTTCAGCTTGTTTTGGGGAAAAACTGACTGAGTTCTCAGACCCAAAAAAGAAAAGGACCACCCAGATGTTCATAAGTGACAGGGTATGTGGGTCTTGAATATGTGTGAAGGTATGTGGAGTATATTGGAGTTTTACAGAGACAAAATAATTCCATCTTTCCTGGGAAATCGATGGTCATTACGGCAAAACAAAGCCAAGCCTCATTCTGCACATGCTACAACAGACTGGTTAAATGGACAATACACCTGCAGCCTAGATCTGTCTTCTATTGGAAATGTATGGCCCATCATGAAAAAAAAATGTTGTGTCAGGTGAGATTGGTCAAAAATTCCCCCTGCAAGACAGCAGCAATTACAGTAGTATCCTCAATTCCCAAACGCTTAAATGGATAAAACAAGAAATGCAAAGAGTGCTATGGGGTAAAACAATCATAGTATCCAATTCCAAGTGCTCATTGGATAAGCGATAGTTAAACATAGGCTGACCTGGATCTACCGTACAGGTAATCTGGGCACATGCCATGGGGCCCTTAGGCAGATAGGGAGTGATGGGACTGGGATGGGAGTGAGAACTCTGTGATGGGAGTTTTTTGTGTGTGTGTGTGTGTGTGTGTGTTACATAAAAATAGTATACACATGCCTCGATCTTGATAATTGTTAACACAGTGTGGGTTTTGTGTCTTGTTCCTTGTTGGTCATGTGATTTAGTGTTTGTCATGTGGTCCTGCCATGTGTCGTGTCTGATTATTGTTCACAGGTGTTCCTTGTCTTGTAATTAGTCTAGTGTATTTAAGCTCTCTTGTTTGCCCTGTGTCTTTTTCTAGTTACCAGTGAAAGTTCCCTGTCGTTGTTCTAGTTTCCAGTTTCTAGCCTTTGTTTTTAATGTTTGATCGTATGTTTATTATTAAAGTTTCATTTGGGTTTGCTACGTCTTGCCTTGTTGCGTTGTTTACATCTTACTGATTCAAGATCAGTTTAACAACGAGTTAAGATTAAAAGAGTGGAATTAATATGAAACAGATTCACAGTCAGATTACGAGTAAAAGTGTGGGGAAATTATTGGAAAGGAAAAAAAGCCGGTTTTCTGCACTGTACTTAATGACCATCGAGTCCGATCTGGTGAGGGAGCTGGACTTTGAGGATTTGATCTGCAAATTTGCAAAGAAAAAGACAAGAAAGAAGAACTTCTAAAGGTAAGAGCTATTATGCTATCTGTTGAGTATGCTTATATAATCTGTTGTGACTGTGTGACCAGATAATGAACATATTTTGCTGAGTTTATTAAAATGCTGTTTGCATTTCGAATGTGAATTGCACCATGTTGTGATGCTGCTATAGGCCTGTTTGAGACTCATTTGTAAAGTGCAGTATCTGTTTGCATTTGCAGTCTGTGAGGTTGCCCGACTCACTTAGTGACTGTTCTTTTTGCACCCTGCACTTAGCTGTGTTGTGTGACTGCATTGTTGTATCTTCAGTCAATCACGGTTTGTAATTACTGTTGTGCTTTCTGTTTTGGTGAGTTTTTAAAAAAAATGAAAAAATCTACTCGAGTAGGCTACTGTAACAAAAGTATTTGTAATTAGTTACTTTCCACCACAGTGTGTGTGTGTGTGTGTGTGTGTGTGTGTAGTGGTTTTGGTGATGCGAAGGTAAGCTGCCTGCAGTTAGACTGTAAAAAATATGGACAAAGTGTCTGTGATGTCATCCATAGACTCAAGACAACGATCCAATGCATAAAATCATCCATAAATCATGCATAAAATCAAGGCAGTGTATTGGTCAAGAGACTATTTATATGGCAATATAGCCTAGTGTTCACTAAAAAGTCTTAAATAACCAGTCAGTCTATGTAGTTATAAACTACAGCACCCAACACCAAGATCTTGAGCGGCCTAAAATGTAAAAGCCCAAACTACTCACTCATTTTAGTCGCATTCTTTAGTCGCATCTTTCGGCAAACTCATCCACGATGTTTCATGCATTCTCGATGAAAAAGATGGTCTGCTCTGCGACATGGTACTCCGCAAAAAAAATAAAAAAAATAATAATAATATTAATATAAAAATAATAATAATAATTTATTTTTGAAAATTGACAAAAATCTCTTGCACGTGCGTTATTGAAAAAAAAAAAAAAAAAAAAAAAAAAAAAAAAAGCCTACGGTAGCCCCGTGGTGTAAAAATAATAAATGCACACAAGAAATTACGGAGAAGTTAGAAATTGCGGAGAAACAAGAAATTGCGTCGCATACAAACATCTTATTGATAAAAAAAAATTATTGTGGCCACGAATTAAAAATTCAATCGGCCCTGGGCCATTTGCACGTGCATACCCTGCATGCCCAGATGCTACGCCACTGACTAGGCTACATATCAATTACAACTAGCCTATTTTATTATTATTAACTATTACACAGTGCAAAGAAAATAATATCACTTACTGCAAATAGACTTTAGCCAAATCTTAAAAATCAAGGATTCAAAATAAAATAAAAAATAAATAAAAGAAGCCTGAAGAAAATATTACTTGTTTTTATTATATATATATTAATTAAGGAGAAGTAGCCTATGTTGTAAAAGATTGTGCACTGTTAGTGTCAATGAGAATTTGATATCCTCTCTACAAAAGGTTACAAGATGTGGCTCTGCATGCAAGCAAAAGGGGTAAATGTGTATTCTGAAATTCATCACGTTCATTTAAACTTTTAACAGACTGTATTTATATATGCTTTAATATCAGTTACATTCTTGTAGCTCCAAAATTACACCAGAGGGAGACATAAGGCAGGGCTGTGGGTTTTAAATACGTTTTTAAAGCAAATTTCCGTCCAATAAAATACCACATGGTGGCGATCTTTACTAATTTGTTGGAAGGAAAGAGACCCAAATGAAAACTTGTAGATGTCCTTTATAGATTAAATTTTGCGAGCATTATATTTACAAAGCTGCACACTGTCGTTTCACGTTAGAAAACCAGATTATTTATAATCACCACCTAAGAAGTTGATTTGTTTATAACCATTAGGAGGCCTATTTGTTATTTTCCCGATTGGACTACAAAAGGCCTGAAAGGTGTCATCTCATATGCTATACTCACACCTAGATCAGCTTAAAACCCATTCATTCAACCACTGAGAAAATAAAAGCTTTCTTTACTATGCTTTAGTTTTAGGGGCAGATCAACTAAGAGATTGTTAGAGAATATGATTGTAGAAAAAGTTGTAGAAAAACATGTATTTCATATTGTGATTTCCCCTCCACTTTCAATTATTCTGCTTCAATGAAAGGTTCGTTTTTTTTTTTCTTTTTTTTTTTTGCACATTCTTTGAATAAAAATATCAAAAGGATAAACAATGCAGATTTATTTTGTACAGCAATCTTTGTTCATATTTACCAAGGCGGCAAATAATTCTGACCAGCACTGTATTATGGTAGTAAACATGATCTTTAATTTTAGTGCTCACCATATCTATCCTAATGTAGAAGCAAGTGGAGAAATCATTTTAAATGTGTGAAGGCTATTTTCAATTTAAGTCCACAGTGGTTTTCAAGTGGGGCCCATTTAGATGTTGGGTTTCAAATGGGTGCTAATAATTGGGCCATGGGTGGCTTAGGTGACGTAGGTAATCACACGGACCCACAAATTATGTTTTTTTTTTTTTTTTTTTTTTTCACAGTGGGTGAAAATGGGGGTCTTAATTTAAAGATTCCAGTGGGTCAAATAATGAGCTGTATGTAAAATAAACTTTCAAACCTCTCCAAAAAAGGTTTTATAAACCTGTACTTGATTAAACAAATAATTCCTAAAATCAGCTGATTTTATATGGTGCTCTATATATTTAGGATTACACGATCCTTGAAAATCCTTGAACTTGGAATGTGTAGATCATGTTTTTTATTGAACAACAAGATAAAACCTCTGAATGCACCAGGACAAAAGTCTCTTATTCCTGGGCCTGTACAGACTCCTCAGCTTCATTTAAAGAGTAAATTAAGAAAACACATGGAATTAATATTCAACTAGTGAAATGTGCAAACAGCATAAAGCATTTATTCTACTGCAGTGGTGGTCCTGGTAACCATTCTGCACATTTTGTATGTCTCCCCTTATTTAACGTGATTGATCAGATCATCAGATTGTGAGCTCCATGAACTCAGTGTGTCACATAAGAGAGACATCAAAACTTGCTAAAGTTAACTGCCAGTATTATTTTCACTATACACTGGAAAGAAATGAATTATGGGTCTTGTAATTTTCATAAAAAAAACTGAAGATGATAATTAACAAAATTGTTTAAATTTTATTAAGAAAATTGTGGTTCAGTGTTGTATAGAAAATATTGAGAACATTGCACTAATAAAACCAAGAGATATATTTTCCTATTTTTTTTTAAGGAAACATACACAATTTTGAGGCTTTGAATTGAGGAACCGATTAAGCTGATACAATTAAGGAAAAGGGGCTACCAATTTATTTTAAGAGAATTAGCAATTATGCGGCTTTATTTAGAGATACCATTGTTAGCTCCCAGCATGCTTTGCACATGGCTGGAAATGGAGAGGAAATGTTGAAATTGAAGGTTATTTTATTTTATTTTATTTTATTTTGAGTAAAGGGAAACATCTGTTAATGTCTATGTTCAGTTACAGTATGTTTGACATCTGAAAGAGTTTCTATTATGTTAAAGGGTTAGTTCACCCAAAAATGAAAATTAAGTCATTAATTACTCACCCCCATGCTGTACCAACCCTGTAAGACATTCGTTCGTCTTCGGAACACAAATGAAGATATTTTTGATGAAATTTGAGAGGTGGATCAGTCCTACATAGGCTGCCTAAGGGATAGAAACTTGACGGCCCAGAAAATCAATGAAGAAAATGTTTAAATATTCCATGTGACAACAGTGGCTCAACTATAAGTTTATCAAACGACGCAAATACTTTTTGTGAGAAAAAACAAACAAAAATAACGACTTTTATTTGACTACTCCATTTCTTCCTTGTAGGCCTGAGATGAGAGTTCAAGAGATTTCCACGACGCAGTAGTCGAATAAAGTCGTTATTTTTGCTTGTTTGTTTTTTCTCACAAAAAGTATTCTCGTCGCTTAATAAACTTATAGCTGAGCCACTGTTGTCACATGGAATATTTAAACATTTTCTTCATTGACTTTCTGGGCCGTCAAGTTTCAATCCCTTAGAGTGCCTATGTAGCAGTGATCCACCTCTCAAATTTAATTAAAAATATCTTCATTAGTGTTCCGAAGACGAACGAAGGTCTTACGGGGTTGGTACAGCATGGGGGTGAGTAATTAATGACTTAATTTTCATTTTTGGGTGAACTAACACTTTAAAGTTTTGATCGTTACCATTGTGCAGAAGACTAGGGCATAGGTTGTGAAAAACTGCATGCTTTTTTATTCTCATTCTTTTACATAGTTGTTTAGTTGCAGTAGTTCAGTAGTTCCAAAATCTTAAAAAAAAAAATCAAATTATATACATACAGTATATACATATTTCACTCTAGAAATGCTGGTTTGTTTTAACCCAACTTTGGGCCAAATATGGACAAACCCAAACGTTGGGTTAAAAATGAAATAAAAATTTTTAACCCTATTGCTGGGTTTGTCCATATTTGACCCAAAGTTGGGTTAAAACAACCCAGCAATTTTTAGAGTGATGTGGTAGTGAGGTGCGACCGTTTTTTTCTCTCTCAAATGGATGGGAAGGTGACAGGAGTGGCACCCGATGCGTCTTCTGCTGCTGTGTTCTCCATCTGATTCAATATTCGATGTGTTGTGCGTTCAGAGATGCTTTTCTGCAGATCTCGGTTGTAACAAGTCATCATTTGATTTGAGTTACTGTTGCCTTTCTTCTAGCCCAAACCAGTCTGGCCATTCTACTCTAGCATCAACAAGGCATTTTCAACCATAGAACTGTCTGTTTTCTCTTTCGCTTGCCATTCTCTGTAAACCCTAGAGATTGTTTGTGTGTGAAAATCCCAGTAGATCACCAGTTTATGAAATACCCAGACCACCCCGTCTGGCAAAAGCGACCATGCCACGTCCTAAGTCGCTTAAATGACTTTTCTTTACCGATGCTCGGCTTGAATATTAGCAGATCTTCTTGACCATGTCTACAAGCCAAAATGTATTGAGTTGCTGCCATGTAATTGGCTGATTAGATATTTACGTTAA